TGATTCAGTTTCTTTTATTGTTAGAGGACTTTCACATTGTGTATTTCACCTTAAGCCATTTTGCTTAGTGTTATTTTCTAGAAACATGTTCATTTTATCTGTTATTGTTTTTAATCTTGGTGTGTAGTCTTTTTTCATTTTAAAAATTATTTGTGCATTCTTTTCCTATTCATTTTGTATTTCAAAGGATCAATTGTTAGCCCTTTGATTATTGTTCATCTTCTTTAGTTTCTGCTTTTCATTACTTCTTTTCAGCCTTCATTTCAGCATCTACGCAGTGGTGCACTCCGGTAATCCCAGAGCTTCGAGAGGCTGGAGGATTGCTTGAGGCCAGTTCCAGACCAACCTGGGCAACAGAGCAAGACCCTATTGCTAAAAAAAAAAATAACAAAAAACCCTATTTAAGGGTATACATTTTCCTGAGGGTACTTTTTTTTAAAGCTACATTTCACAAGTTTCAATGCATAACTGTTTTCATTATCATTCTAAGTATTTTTGAATTCCCCATATGGTAACTTCTTTAATCAATAAGTTATTCAGAAATGTTTTTAAATTTCTAAACATGGTTTTTTTCCTCCAAGTTTTTGTTGTTGTCCTTTAATTATGTTGTAGACATACTACATAGTTTATGGTACTGCTTCTTCAGTATTTGAGATTTGCAAATGTTCGTATATGCTTGAGAAAAACATATTCATTAAATGGTAGGTAAAGATTTCTAAATATATCTATTAAATAAAAAAGAAAGAGAATTTGATTAGATCTATAACAATGAAGTGGCTGAACTGGTATCAGCTCAGAAGAATGGTACCAGAAGTGAGGAGCAGAAAAACCAAAGGAATTCTATTCTTTGTTCAGCACTGAGACTTGACAAGCTTTAAAAAAAAAAAAAAAAATGAAACTGATCATAAAGCCATAAACAAACTGAAACTAGGAAAAGAAAGCTACAATATATATGGTTTTTGGTAGAAATGATTTAAAATACAAATTTATTTGATCATATTTAAAAATAGCAGAATCACATTTGTTTCCTTAATAATCACTGTAAACATACTGGATTTTGGGGCTCTTAGTTTGCTCTAGAAATTAGTAAAGAGTTGACCATTAGCAGCCTGGCAAGCCTTTTCCTTCCCCTCCAGGGTCTTCTGCCCTTTGGGGGAGGAGTGTTTGTGACAACTGATACTACATAGCTTGCCAAATCCTTTCCACCTCCTCCCATAGGCAACAGGGTGACTTGGCTTATTCTTTTACTAAAGTCATTGAATAAGCAGGTAGGTTAGGTTATCAAACACAGAGAATGGAGGGAAGGTTCCATTGTAGACAATTCCCAAATATAAGAATGGATGAATTCAAGACTTTAGCTGTTCAATCCCTTCTTTTGCAGACCGGATAGATATACCAGCAAAGGATCTCAGATTTTTGGTTGATTAAGATGTCAGCGTAGCTTTGCACAGTGGCAGTATCGTAGCCAATGAGGTATATCCGAGGTACGATTATTGCTAATTGAAAACATTAAAAAAAAAAAGATATCAGTGTAATGTACTCAGTTCCTTTGATTAAAATATATCAGAAAAGCCATCTCTGGGTGGGGAAAAAAAGTTAGTTTATTACAACGATGTTACTATAAGAGGAAAATTGAAGCAGCAAACAGCAGGCGGTATTATCCCTTTCCTCTTGAACTCAAATGATCACTTCACGCCTGTCAGCTTTACAGTCCAAGCATACTCCACTGGGATAGCAGAGGGTGGCAACTGGGGCAGAATGATGATGACCCCTTTATCTGGATCTGGGGACCACTTCAGATCTTCTTGGATTCCCAGCATCATTATCTGAAGAAAACAAAAAAAAATGGGAAAAAACCAGTAATGCATTAATGAGTACAGGATATAGCCTGAACATGGTGGGAAACAGCTATGCTGGGCCAGGGCTGGAAAGACAGTCAAAAAAGCAAATATAGGAGAAACCTGGGCAGGGAAGGAAGCTGCAGAGAAGGCCTGCCGATTCCTCTAGAAAAAGTTACACCTTAGGACTAACCATGGCTCCTTACCGTTGTAGTCGAGGTAGGTGTGGGGGATTTAAGGTTCAAGACTCCATTTCCTGGCCACTGCAGAAAAATGGCATAAAGAGCTGATCCTTTTGAGGTATACCTGGGAAAAAAGAAACATCATTGTCTGAGATACGAGGCTTGTTACCACGATACATAACGTTATATATTCCCCTTACAATTAGCTACCAAATCCAACACTTTGAATCTGTCACTGCTACTGTTAATAGGAAGCACCAGTAACTCGATACCAATTCAGGCCTGCAGGATGGAAGCAGTCTACAAAACTCTCTCTGGTGATATCTTCTATTTCCCCTCTCTATTGGATTAAGTTTTCTTTAAACGTTAACTCTTACATTAGTTATTTCACACTGAAGCCATTTCCCTTATTATTCAAATCTTTTTTCAACTCCAAATCCATGTGAAAATAGCAGCGAGGATAACAAGGGTGGGATATGCAATGAAGACAAATTTGTTGTTCTGAGATTTCACCATGTTTGGAGAAGAGGATGAAAACCACTGCATTGTTTGAATGTCCCCCCCAGATTTCATGTGTTGGAAACATAACCCCCAAATTCGTATGTTGATGGTATTCGTATTTGGAGGTGGGGCCTTTGGGAGGCAATTAGGATTAGATGAGGTCATCAAGGTGGGGCCCTCGTGATGGGACTGGTGACTTACAAGACCACGCCATGACAAAGCAGGAAAGCCCTCATCAGATGCCAGTACCATGTTCTTGGAGTTCCCAGTCTCCAGAGCTAAATAAACCTCTATTCTTTAGAAATTACCCGGTCTGTGGTACTCAGCTATAGCAACAGAAAACAAACTAAGACAATCACTAAATAGAAATTCATCCCAAACAGAGTAGGAATAATGTGCTTCCCTTGATCCAAAGACCAAGCTCTTTGGTATAACACCAGCAGTTACCTTTTATTGAACACTTAGTTTGTGCCTGGCACTCTGCTGGGTGCTTTACATATATTATCTCATTTAATCCCCACAACTCTATGAAGTTAAATATCATCACTCCATTTTGCAGTAAAAAAACTGGGGCCCAAGATCAAATAACTAGATCCAGAAGTCCAAGTATGAATGGAAAGAATTTAGAATGGATCCCAGTACGTGGTAGGTATAATATAAGCATTAGCTGTTACTATTTTTAGGAGGCAGGATAACAATCTCAACTACATTGACTGACGCTTTGTAGCTCCTTCCCTTTTCACCAAGCCTACTACCTCCTTCACTAGTCAAAGATATCCTGGTAGCCCACGTATAACTCAACTGGGGCACAAATTTTATAGGAAAAGAATAGTTTTGGGTTTTCTCAAGGCAACTTCCAGCCTAACTTGTTACATTGTGGACTCAAGGAGATGCCAGTTCAGGATGAGCCACAGTCCTTGTTCCTGCTCGTAACGGAAGACAAGACTCACCATACAGATGTTGTGTTCTTCTCAAATTGCACCCGCCATGGTTTGGAGGCATAGATAGCTTCCCCATTGATGCTCAGCCACTTGCCAACAGCAAGAAGCCTTTCTTGGAAGATGGGAACAATCAGTCCATCTTTAGTTGGTCCAATGTTCAGAAGATAGTTGCCTCCCAGACTAACTGTCTGAACCAGTTCCTGGAGAAAGCAAAAACAATGACAGCCTAGCTATGAATGCCAAGCCTGGCA